ACTTTATCCGTTTAGGTGGTGCTGAGGGTCAAACCCAGTGCCTCACCTGTGCGAGGAAACGCTCTACCACTGAGCCACACCCCAGCCCTAGAATGTATTTTAAAAAGCAAAACCTGGGCTGAGGGTTTGGGGGTCCTGGGTCACAAAGCTAGGTGATGAGTCCTACTGGCTGATTGGACATCTGAGCCTATGGCTGCCCAAGGCCCACCCCCACCTCAGGCCTGGCCCAGCCTCTCCTCACCTCCTGGGCCGTGGGCCTCCCACCACATCTTTGTGGACTGCGCCTGGCCCAGGGCCTCATTTGCAAGGGCACAAATGTGGGTGTCGGAGGGTTCCCAGTCTTGGTCCTCCAGTATGAAGAAGGGTCCCTAAAGGGTTCCTGCTCTCTGGAGACCTGTGATGAATTTCTGTTCCATGCATGGGGCTGGGGGACGTGGTCACCTGTCTCTGAGGCAGCCTACATTGGAGGTGCTGAGCTGAATACTTGACATAATTGGCTTGGAGAAGCAGTTTCTGTTCGTCCCCTTTGGCAGCTGAGAGAATCAAAGTCAGGCCCAAGGTCAAGGCCCAGCCATCGGCACTCACTGTGGTGGTCCTGTCTGCCTCACCGCTCAGGCCAAGGCCCGCCTGGCTCCCCGACACCCCTCATGCCTCCCACAGTCACTGTGGGGTGTCCTCAGCTCTGTCTGCCACAGCTGGAGGGTGCCCTCTGCTACCCAGGGGACCAGGCTCTGGGGAAGCACTCCTGCTGCTGCTTTGCCCTGTGGTCCCAGGCTATGAGGACAGCCTCGGGAGGCCCAGGCCCTGCCCTCGGGCAACCCCATTTCCCCACTCTGCTGGCAGACATGGGGGCTCAGAGAGAGTGACTGTCTTGCCCACCATCGGGATGTGTGCTAGGACTTGGGAAAGGGGCCTGCACCCTTTTGGAAGTTTCCCCAAGCCAAGGATTAAGCCTGGTTTTGTTTCCCAATGTTGATCTGTGGGGTGTGGGGAGCCCTCTATGCCTTCTGTGTTTTAACTGAGATTTTTATTGTTAAAAGAGAGATTCTTTTTTATTTTACTGTTGTTATTTACAATGCTAGGATTGAACCCAGGGCCTCACATGCTAGGCAAATGCTTTCCCGCTGAGCTACACCCGGCCCTAGAAACATTTTCAAAATAAGAGACCTCTCACAGATCTGAGTTGCTTCCAGTTCCCACCCAACTCCCAACTCTGGGTCATGGTGTGGGGAGCGCCCCCTGTTGGTAGGGGCTCAGACTACAGCTCCAAAGGTTCTGCATTCCAGGCTGGGTGGGGTAGCTCTGAGTAGGGGGCAAGGGAGGACAGGACAGTGAACGAGGCACGGAGCCCCAGTGCTCATTGAGGCAGTCAGTCAGCCTGAGGCCCAGAAGGAATGAGCCTTTTGAGAGTGACTGAAGCCCTGGAGACATCAAGGTCACACAGGGAACATGGGCAGAACTGAGACTTGAACCAAATCCATGTGTCTCTAGAGGTGGGAGATGGGGAGGGCCACAGCCTGTCTCTGGCTGTGACCATCTACATGTCCTAATCCCTGCACCAGGTGGCAGGGAGGAGGCAGGTACCCCTTGAGGTGTCTGAGATCCCTCTTCGGACTCCTGTTAGCTGGAGGGAGATTCTAGAGGTACTGTCTACCCTCTTTTCAGACTCTCAGTGAGCTCTGCAGGAAACTACAGGCCCTGGAGGCTGCCCAACAACTGCCCTTGCACTGATCTCTGGTTTTATCCCTGACCACGCCCTGACCTGTTCCAAGCTGAGGCTACACCTTTCCTCCTTTACTTCCTGTGGAATAAAATATACAGAAAATTATACAGAAGTGTACAGCCAACACATAGATCTGTGCAACTTCCAGGGAACAGCCCCCAATGCCAGCGGGGGGGCCCCCCCCATGCCCTCTCCATCCAGCACCACCTCCTCTGCCCTTGCTTAGGGAAGTCCGCCTTCTTGTTTTTCTAAAAAGCATTCACCACAGATTATGCACCCACCCCGGCCCCCTCCTGCCTTTGCATTATACAGAATGGAGTGTAGGTGAGCTTTGGCCTCCAGCTCCGGCCATCCTGATCTGTAAGGTTCATTCATGTCGCTGAGATTGTTCAAGCCACTGCAGCACACCCGTGGCTCACAGGTCTCTCTTACTGTAGATGGATGGACATTGGGTTGTTTCGAGTTTGGGGTAATTACAAATGCTGCAACAGTTTTACCTACGTCCTGTGCAAAGGAGTTGGAATTTCTCCAGGATATGAAGATCTTTCACTGTTGTTTCAGGATACTGTTCTAGTTCAGCAACCGGAAAATAATCTCCTTGGCTTCACATCCCTGCCAACACTTGATACTGCCAGACTTTTCATTTTCACCGGTCTGGCATGTGTATAACTTTGGCTCTTATTTGCACTTAGCTATTTACTAATGAGTTTGAGAATATTATCATGTATTTATTAGCCATTTTAATCTTGTCCATGAAGTGTCTATTCAAGGCTTTTGCCCATTCTTTATATGCTTTATATGTTTGTCTTTTTTTTTAAACTAATCTATAGGCATTTTTTTAAAAAAAATTTAGTTGCTGATAGACCTTTATTTTATTTATTTATGGTGCTGAGAATCAAACCCAGTGTTTTATACATGCTGGGTTAGCGCTCTGCCACCAAGCCCCAGCCCAGCCCAGGCTCGGCCACCAGGGCTCGGCCACCAAGGCTCAGCCCAGAACCCTAACCCTAACCCTAACCCTAACCTCAGCCACTGAGTCCCTGCCCCGGCATTCTTCACATAGTCTTCATGTAGTGACGTGCTGCAAATATTTTCCCCAAGCCATTGGCTTATTTTGACTGATTATGTTTTTTTTTTTTTTTCCTTTTTGGTACTGGAGATTGAACTTAGAAGTGCTTTACCACTGAGTCACATCCCCAGCCCTTTTTGAATCAGGGTTTTCTTAAGTTGCTTAGTCCTCATTGAGTTGCTGAGGCTGATTCTGAACTTGGAATCCTCCTGCCTCAGCCTCCTGAGTCTCTGGGATTACAGGCATGTGCTATCACATTTGGCCCAGACCCTATAAATTTTAAAACTAACTTGTCCATTCCAATAGCAACAACCCATTGGCTTTTTTTTTTTTTTTTTTTTTGTAGTACTGGGGATTGAAACTGGGGATGTTTCATCACTGAGCCATACCCTAGTCCTTTTTAAAAATTTGAGACAGGTTCTTATAAAGTTGCTGAGGGTTTTGCTAAATTGCTGAGCCTGGCCTCAAATTTGCAGTCCTCCTGCCTTAGCCTCCCAAATTGTTGAGATTATAAGCATATATTTTGACACCCAGCCAAATTTTGATTGGGAATAATAATGTATTCCATTATAGCTATGAATCAGCTTCAGGAAAATTGACAACTTTATAATCTTGAGTCTTCAGATACATGAATGTGATCTATATTCATTTGTGTCTTCTTCAAGGTTTGTCAATAGGATTTAGTAATTTTGTTAGTTTAATATTGCTTATTTTTTTTACTAAGTATGCTTTGTTGGTACTTTATATTTCCTTTAGTCTATTGTAAAATGTGTATTTTCTTAATTTACCTATTTTTTGTTAATAGCATATTAGATGTATCTTATCTTTTTACTGGAGTATTTTGTTTGCATTTAATGTAATTAAACTTATTAGCTTATTTTATTTGCATTGCTGGGGATCAAATCCAGGGCCTTGTGCATGCTAGGCAAACACTCTGCCACTGAGCTACATCTCCAGCTCTTATTATTATTTTTTGAGGGGTTACTGGGGATTTAATTCAGGGGCATTTGACCACTGAGCCACATCCCCAGTCCTATTTTGTATTTTATTTAGAGACAGGGTCTCACTAAGTTGCTTTGCACCTCACCATTGCTGAGGCTGGCTTTGAACTCATGATCCTCCTGTCTTAGCCCCCCAAGCTGCTGGGATTACAGGTATGTGCCACTGCGCCCAGCTTTTTTTTTCTAATATTTGTTTTTTAGTTGTAGTTGGACACAATACTTCATTTTATTTTTTTATTTATATGTGGTGCTAAGGATCGAACCCAGGGTCTTGCACATGCTAGGCGAGTGCTCTACCGCTGACCCATAATCCCAGCCCCAGCTTATGTTTTTATTGTTCCTTTTTTTTTTTTTGAGATGGGGTGCCTCTGTTGCCCAGGCTGGTCTTGAACTCCTGGGCTCAAATAGTTCTCCTGCCTCCACTCCTGAACAGTAGGAATACAGGGGCATACCACTACACATGCTTCTTTTTCTATCCTTTTTTTCATTCTTTTAGATTGAACAACTTTCGAAAAATCATTTCACTTCTCTTTCTACTAGTTCAAAAGTCACATATACATTATTCTTATTAGCGTGTGGAGTTAAAACCATTAAATCTCGTGCTGGGGCTGTAGCTCAGTGGTAGAGCACTTACCTTGCACGTGTGAGGCACTGGGTTCAATCCTCAGCACCACATAAAAATAAATAAATAAAATAAAGTTATTTGTCCATGTTAAAAACAAACAACAACAACAAAAAAACATTAAATCTGCTCCACAGCACAAGTCCTTGGGTGACTTTGCCTTCACTGACCTCCTTCATGGTTTCATACATATTGTACATCATTTGTGGATTTTAACCCTACGTAGGCAGTATTTTTTTTTTGATTTTTTTGTAGCTGGAAAGAGAAGGTAAATTTTAACAGCATTGAAATGGTGAGATCTACACAAGATAAAAAGAATCATTTGCCATTTCAAAGTACATGGTTCTGTGGCTTTAAATATATCCACATGGGGCTGGGGATGTGGCTCAAGTGGTAGCGTGCTCGCCTGGCATGCGTGCGGCCTGGGTTCGATCCTCAGCACCACATACAAAACAAAGATGTTGTATCCGCCGATAACTAAAAAATAAATATTAAAATTCTCTCTCTCTCTCTTCTCTCACTCTCTCTTAAAAAATTATATAAAAAAATATATATATATAAAAAAAAATATATATATATCCACACTATGCAACCATCACCACCATCAATCTCCAGAAATTTTACCTTCCCACACTGAAACTCTGTCCCCATTAAACACCAACTCCCCACTCCCCTGCCCAGCCCTGGGCATCCACCATTCTTCCTTCTCTGTCTTTAAGTACTTGTACTTTATATTCATACAGGTGGAATCAAACCTTTATCCTTTTGTGAGTGGATTGCTTCACTTAGCAAAATGTCTCAAGGTTCATCTGTGTTATTCCATGTATGAGAACTTCCTCATTTTAAAAGGCTGAATAGCATTCCATTGTCTTTCCATTCATTATTCAATGGACACGTGAGTTGCTTCCATTCTTGGGCTATTGTGAACAATGCTGCTGTGAACACGTATGTTACAAATCTGTTCAAATTCTTGTTTTCCTTTTGCAGTACTAGGGACTGAACCCAAGGGCACTTTTCCAGAGCTGCAGCAGCAGAGGACGGAGGCAGGCTGATACTAATTGGCTGTGCCATTCTGTTTGCTTGGTTGTTAGAGCTTAGATGTGCTGATGGACATTAATACAAAGACCTGCATCCTGGTGCCAACTCCCATCCATGTGCCCCTTCCTTAGAAGTCTTCATCCTCTAACTTCCAGATCACCACTTCCAGGATCCTGACCAATGAACAAAGTCTCATATCTCTCCACACAAGGGAATGGCTGGGATCTCCCCCTGGAGCTTTGCTAACTGGGGTCAGTCTCCTAACTACCGTCTTTCAGTGCAGCTGCTGAATGGGTTTCAGCTCACCAATATACTGAGCCCACTTTCCATTGCTTCTTGCAGGGTGCCATACCATTCGTATGAGCTGAGTGACACTGGACTGCGGTGGGCGACAAGAGGTCTAGACTACCTATTTATGTACCTGCTTGAATCCGGTTCTGGATCCAAAACTGTTTATGACTTGGTGGTCAAACTCAGCTTATGACAGATGGTTCTTGCCTCAGAGTTAGTTTTGGTGTTCCATAGAAAATTTCATTTCTATTGGAACCCAGCAGAATTCTAGAAGTTACTTTTTAAAGCTTCTTAACCTGTGGGTTTGTATCTTTAAATATTATTTCTTCCTTCCAGCTGCCATCACCATTTTCAGGGAATATATTAGTCCTCATGAAGTGGTCCTAAAATTCTGCAGTTCAATTTTTCCCAGATTCTTTTTGGTTTAATTTAGTTCTTCTCCTTGCCTTCAAGTTCAGGAATCTTTTGTGTCTAACCTATTAATCCCATCCATTGTATTTTTCACCTTTACATGTTTTTTGTTTAATGTCTCCACTCTCTAGTTGACATACTTTCCGGTCTTCTGCCCCACCAGCTTTCCTTCAGCATCTCCTTTTTGTTGTTGCGGGGCTGGGGATGGAATCCAGGGCTTCACGGATGCCTGTCAAGCACTCTGCCACTGAGCCACATCCCGAACCCCTTCAGCCGGACCACTGCACTGGATGCTGAGGATTCGGAACTGAAGGGACAGAACTGGGGTCCAGCCATCTGAGGACAGGCAGTAGGCAGGAGCAGGTGCCTAGAGTAGCGGCTGCTGGCGCTAATCCACGGCAGTCTCCCTGGCCCAGAGGCCCCGACGGGAGCAGAGGCCTACGCTGGCTTTCTTTGGCTGTGCAGGGAACAAGAGCCCTGCCCAGCGGGGACTCGGACGAGACAATAGGAGTGGCGGTGTGCGGAAGGTGCCGTTCTGGTCACCGCGGGTGGACGGCCTGCCAATGGCTGCTGCAGGCTCATTTCCTGGTTCCGCGGAGGTCCCTGGCGCTTGGCATCCGCAACCAGCAGGCTTTCCTGTCGGCGCGACCTTATCGGGGCCCGCAGGCCACGCTGTCCCGACCCCACCCTGACTGCCAGCCGGGCCCCAAGCCTGCCTGGGGCCCGCCCGCCCGCGCTGCCGGGTACTGGGGCCCGCCTGCGCGTTGCGTAGCGGGGCCGCAGCAAGCCCCCGAAGCAGCCGCACAGTTGCCAGCGGCGGAGCCCCACGTTTCCGGGAAGCAGCCCCGAGGGGCCAGACCCCGCCTCCCTTACCGCCCACGGGGCCGGGCCTGCGCAGCTGCGCCGCAGCCGCGAGGCCCCGCCTTCCCCAGGTGCCGCCCCCGCGTCTCGCCAATAGGAGGGTGCGATGCTGGATGGTGGCGGCGCAGGCCGGGCCAATGGAGAGGCGCGTCGTTGAGATGCGGCGCCGCAGGCCGCACCCAACTCGGGCGGTGGGGGCGAGCGAGGGCGGCGGGGCCGGGTGGGCCGCAGCCGCCAGGGTGCGCGCGGCGGGCGGGGGTGGAGCCGGAGCCCCAGCCCCAGCGGAGCCCGCAGGCGGAGGCCGCACTCGCGCTGGGAGGCTGCTCGTTGCTCTCGATTCTCTGCGGAGGTGAGGCGGGTGGACGGGCGCAGGCCTCCGCAGTAGCGGACCCGTCGCTGCGGGCTTCTCGGTGCAGCAGCGCGGGCCACGGGCCTCGGGCACGGTGGGGCGGGTCCCGCCGACGTCTGGCGGCTGCGGGCCTTGCGGACGGAGGCCGCGGGGAGCGGGAAGCGGGTCGCCGGCGGCCGCGGCGGGGACGGCCTCCTGGTGGTCTTCCTGCGCTCTCCCGCCTTAGCCTTCCCTGCGTTTTGGGAAGAGCCGGAGGACCTCTCCCTGTCGTTATTTTCATTTTTGTTCTTGTCACTCGTAGCCGAAGGTGTCTGGTAGGTGATCTGAGTAGTTTATGCCGACGCACCTTGGGATGAATGTTTTAATTCGCCCGAAACTGCTGTTGGCTTGACGGTGCGATTTCATGCCTAAAATGACCTAAAGCAATTGCCATCTCCCAAAGGCCTTTGAACAGCAGCTGATAGCTGTGTGCGTTGCAGGTGAGTTTTGTAGAGAGATTTTTGTGTGTCGAAAACTGATTGCCATCTTCGTGGGGATGGGAAATCGAATGTTGAAAGATCCAGTTCGTCTCCTTTGCAAAACACGTGTGAAAAGAGCCTTCAGCGCGCCCGGAGAGGGGAGGCCATTTCAGGCCGAGGGTGGACTTCAGTATGGGGTGGGCTTATAACATTGCAGCCTTCAATCTCTGGAGAAAGCCAGTGGTGTAGAGTATCTTTAGATACAAATTTTGGATAATTCGCTTTAGTTCTTTCGGGGAAACTAGAATAATATAGTTATTTTTTAAGGAAATGAATGGTTTTGCCAGTCAGAACTGCGTCTCAAGAGTTTTGATGTGGTTTACCCCGGCATCATTCGGTAGTTTACTACTTTGTATTGTGTAGCTTCTAGAGTTTCAGAGACTCAGAGTCTGTGAATGACCTGAATCTAAATTCAAATTCTACTCAGTCTCCAAACTGCGATAGTTTCTTTAAAAAAAAAAGTGTGGGCGTGCAGTTTTTGCCTTGCCCCTGAGAGGCAACCCTGTACCACCGAGCTACATCCCCGGCCTCTGCAGCTTATATTATACAGGCTGATACTTTCCTGCTTTAACTCTTGTGATGTAATCTGATTCTGATAAGGTTTTGTTTAATGTTTAATTTGTTACTGATTTTACCATAAAAGATGCTTTTTTTCTTTGATTTTTTTTTTTTTTTTTTGCAGTAGTACACGGACAGAATGCCCTGTTTGTTTGTTTGTTTATTTATTTATTTATAGGTGGTGCTTAGGATCGAACCCAGTGCCTCACACTTGCTAGGCAAGCGCTCCACCTCTGAGCCACAGCCCCAATCCCCAAAGCTGTTTTTTTATGCTATTGTTTTTAGTTCTTGTATGCAGTCGTTATAGTGATCAGGAAAGTAAATATTAAAATACTTCAAAAGATACCGTTATTTTTATTATATAAAACTCAGAGTTTGATTGCCTTTCTTCCTCCTTTCCATGTTGAACTCTTCACACACACATTGAGAGAATAGCAGAGTTCCTGTTTACTCTCATTTAGTTTCAACAATTATTCGCTCTTAGCAAGTGTTTTTTTTTTTTTTCCTCTGACCCCTCAATCCCCGATGTCTTATCTGTGTTTTTTTTTTTTGGGGGGGGGGGCGGGTAACTGGGGATTGAACCTAGGGTTGCTTTACCACTGAGCTACATCCCCAGCCCTTTATATTTTTTTATCTTGAAATATAGCCTTGCTTAATTTCTGGGGCTGGCCTTGAACATATAATCTTCCTTCCTGCTTCAGCCTCCAAAGTCACTGGGATTACAGGATGCACCAGAGCGCCTGGCCAGATATCATATCATTTTCACTGTTAAGTGTTTCAGTATGTGTATCTTAAACAATAAGGACTTTTTAAAAAGGTAAACATGAATACCAGTATTAGAAAAAAGGAGTTTCTTTAATACCTTCAAATATCCAAGTACTGTTAACATTTTCTTGATTGTCTCATAATTTTTTTAAATAGTTTTGAGCTAGGATGCCAATGTCCCATACCATTGTAACTTGTTTTAATCTATAGGCTCCCCCTCTATCATCAACATCTTTTTTTTTTTTTTATTTGTTGATGAAACCTGACCTGGTAGTTTGTTCTGTGGAGTAATCCGGACTTCAGTCTGTAGTATTTTTTAACACTACAGAATTTGCTGTAAACTGGTGGCTAGATAGAAATGTCTTATTAGATCCAGGTTTGATTTATTCTTTCAAGATGACTTTTAGGTAGGTAAACAGATAATGGTGCATAATCTGGTTAGCAGCCCTTGCTGCTTGGAGTCATTAAGCTTTGAAAAATATTGATGTTTTAATTCTGTAACCTCATCAATGATTAATTGGAATACTTGTTTTTTTGAAAAAAATATTTTTAGTTGTAGATGGACACAATACTTTTATTTATTTTTATGTGGTGCTGAGGATGGAACCCAGTGCCTTCCACATGTGAGGCGAGCGCTCCACCACTGAGCTGAAACCCAGCCCCTAAATGGAATACTTCTATAGAGAAATTTTCCTTCATTCACTATTTGATTACCTTGAAGTATATTTCTTCTAGAAAAGGCAGGACAAATGCTTAATTCCTATTATTTTCTAGTTTTCAAAATTAAAGAGTTGATTCTCTAATATCCTTTAAAAGTCGCCTGTGAATTGTATCTATGTGTTTGTCCTTGTGAACTCAGGATCTTAAATTTATTTTTCTTTTTTTGGTACTGGGGCTATGTTCCCAGGCAGGAGGATGGCAAGTTTGAGACTAACCTCAGCAATTTAGTGAGGCCCTAAGGACTTAACCAGACCGTGTTTCAAAATAAAACAGGGGTGTTACTCAGTGGTAAAGCGCTTGCTTAGAACATGTGTGCAAGGCCCTGGGTTCAATCCCCCGCACAACAAAGAAAGAAAAGTTAGTGTATATGAAATGTAAATAAGTTATATGTTTAGACTTGGGTTCCATCCATAGATATTTCACTATGTACATGCAAATATCCTAAAATCTGAAAAAATCCTAGACACTTTTGGTCTTATGCCATTTCAGATGAGAAATACTCAATCTGTGTTTAGAAACAACAGTTCAGGCCTTTGGGCTGCTTACTGTACTAGGTTAATCATTGTTTCTAGATCCTTTTAGTGAGCCGGTTGTGTGTTACAGATACTTTCGGTGTCAAAGTATGAATTGTGTTCTACTTAACCTCAGCCTTATACCTGAACCTTTTTTCCTTCTAAGCCAAACATTTTGTTTCTTCTTATTCAATCATTTTAGCCTGCACTGTACAATTTATCTCAGAAGACTGTCAACACAAGCACCAATGAAACTGTTAAAAGAATTTTTTTGTACCCTTGTTAGGTCTATCTAGTCAAATTCTGTTTTAAAGTCATTTAGAAGAGTTACTATGTTGTTTTGCCATCACTGTATGTATAGTTTAGTTCTATAGTTTGGTTTTTATTTTGCCTTCACTATTTAAAAATTGCTTTTTAAAAATTTAATTTTGAGGGCTAGGGCTGGGGCTCAGCGGTAGAGCCCTTGCCTAGCGTGTGTGAGGCCCTGGGTTCCATCCTCAGCACCACATAAAAATAAATAAACAAAATAAAGGTATTGTGTCCAACTAAAACTAAAAAGGAAATATTTTTTTAAAAAACTTAATTTTGATAGGGCATGGTGGCACATGCTTGTAATCCCAGTGACTTTGAAGGCAGAGGGAGGATTGCAAGGTTGAGGCCAATTTCAGCAACTTAGCGAAGCTGTCAGCAACTTAATGTCTCAAAATAAAAAGGGCTGGGGGTGTGGCTCAGTAGCTAAATGCCCCTGGGTTCAATCCCCAGTACCTCCCTTCCCAAATAAAAAGTTTTATAATTAAAAGGCTTTCAAAGTCAAACCTGTAAAACAAGTATAGTTGAACCTCTGTCTCCTTCATCTTATTCCTTCCTTTTCCCCTACATATTCTTTCCAACTTGTATTTTGGACCTGAGATCCAACTCAGGGGTGTTTTAACACTTGTAGGTGGACACAATGCCTTTATTTATTTATCTTTATGTGGTGCTGAGAATCTAACCCAGGGCCTCATCTGTGCTAGGTGAGTGCTCTACCACTGAGCCGCCACCCCCACCCCCACCATCCCTCCCCCCAGCCCTTTTTAATTTGTACTTTGAGATAGAGTCTGGCTAAGTTGCTGAGGCTGGCTTTGAACTTGAAATCCTCCTGCCTCAGCCTCCTGAGCTGCCGGGATTCAGGCATGTACCACCACACCTGGCAAGTTATAACTGCCTTTTTTTTTGGTACCAGGGATTGAACTCAGGGGCACTTGTCCATTAAGCCATATCCCTAGATATTTTATTTAGAGACAATAATTTTATTTAGAGACAGAGTCTCACTGAGTTGCTCAGTGCCTCACTTTTTGCAGAGGCTGGCTTTGAACTCGAGATCCTCCTGCCTCAGTCTCCCAAGCTGCTCAGATTACAGGCGTGTGCCACTATGCTTGGCTAAGATATAACTGCTTTTTAAGGAACATTTAACACAAACATCTTGCCTGGTAATGCTCTTTTTTTTTTTTTTAATTTTATTTTAGTTGTAGATGGACACAATATTTTATTTTAAAAATTTATTTATGTGTGGTGCTGAGGTTCGAACCCCAGTGCCTCACACATGCTAGGCAAGCCCTCTACCACTGAGCTACAGTCCCAGCCCCTGATTTTTTTTCTTATTCTATAATTTGGTGAAGATTTTCTGGTACATTTAAAGGTATAGAGTCTAAAGAAATTCTTCACATAGGAATGATATCATACTCCAGAATTCTCTTCTGTCAAGAAGACAACCTTAGCTTTTTTGTTATATGGTGATTAATGACTGTAGGTTAAAGACCTCAGTTTTATATTTTCCTTTTTGTAAACAATTGCCCTCAGCCCCTCAACTGCAATAATATAGTTTTGTGTTATCTACCGTTTCTGAGGTACAGACATCAAACTCATATTGACATAATAAATACAGTGTGCCTTAGTAGTTTTTTCCCCTGTTGTTACCAGTGTTCCCTCACAGGTCATCCACATGTTCATTGAGCTCTGAGATAAGTGTGTGAGTAGTGTGCCTGTAGCTGTAGTCATGTGTAACGATTTGCTCACATCTGTTCTGCCTTCAAGATGCTTCCTCAGGCAGTCCTTCTGTGCTGCCTCCACTGTCACTGCGTGGGTCCCCGCAGTCCCCGTCTCTCCCTTGGACTCCATAGCAACCTCCAGCTGGTCTCCTGGACGCTTTCTTCCCAGCTCCTACCCATCATTTAGGGTGTTTTTCATAAAATACCATTGGATCACCGTCTGTCCTGTTTAAAACTCATCAAAGACTGATAGTCATTGTGTCTAGGTATAGGGGATGGGGTGGCTGTTGGACAGGGTTACAGACAGTCCTCAACTTAGAGTTTTTTGACTTTACAGTGGTATGAAAGCATATCCATGCAAGTATTCTGTTTTTCAGTGCAGTATTTAATACATTACAGGGGATATTCAGTACTTAATATACATCAGCTTTGTGCTTGATGACTTTTTAGCCCAGCTGTAGGCTAATGTCAGCATTCTGAGCATCTTTTTCTTTTCTTTTTTTTTTTTGGCAGAACTAGGAATGAACCCAAGGGCGCTTTACCACTGAGCCACATCCCCAGTCCTTTTAAAATTTTATTTTGAGATGATCATGTTTAGTCGCTGAGGCTGGCTTTGAATTTGCAATCCTCCTACCTCAGCCTCCTGAGTCATTGAAATTATAGGCCTGTGCCCAGCTTCTAAGCATATTTAAAGTAGGCTCAGCTAAGCCCAGATGTTCAGTAGATTAGGTGTATTCAATGCATTTTCAACTTACAGTATTTTCAATTTACAATGGGTTTATCAGGCCATTATTCCATCATAAGTCTAGGAACATCTATATGCCTTTGGAATTTTGATTATTTGCCTGGATTATGTATTCAGACTAATAAGTTTTATAAAAACAAAAGGGTTCAATTCCTCGTACAAACAAACAGCCCCTGCTGCCTTGCTCTTAGAATGACAGTCCTCCATTTGACTGGTGTTATGGTTGGATATGAGGAATCCCCCAAAAGCTAACACATGAGACAATGCAAAGAGGGTTCAGAGGAGAAATGACCTTTACAGCTTTAACCTAATCAGTGAATTAATCCCATGGTGAATTAATCCCTGATGGGATTAATTGGGTGGTAACTGGAGGCAGGTGGGCTGTGGCTATGGGGAATACATTTTGGATCTGGAGAGTGGAATCTCTCTGCTTCCTGATTGTCACCTGAGCTGCTTCCCTCTGCCACACTCTTCTGCCATGATGTTCTGCCTCAACTTGAGCCCTGAGGGAGCAGCAAAAAAGTCAGAGCAGCAAAAATGCTGGCTGAAACCCCTGGCACTGCCGCACTGCCTGCGCACAGTGGGTGCAGTCTGCGGTGGGCAGTGCCTTTGCGTTTTCCTCGCTGTGTGCTCTTCTGTTGAGGCGACTGTTGATAAATGGGGATATGCTTTTATTTGGCAAAATAGAAAGTATAGAGTCCACATTATACATTTTATTTTTCATCTTTTTAAGCACATGCAGTTTGCTAGGTATTGTGCTTTTATGTATATTTAATCCTTAAACCTGACAAGCAGGTCCTGTTTCAGATGGCAAACCAGGAGTTTTACAGAGTTGCCCAGGTCCCACAGCGAGGGGGCTGTAGCTGTAGTCATGTGTAACGATTTGCTCACATCTGTTCTGCCTTCAAGATGCTTCCTCAGGCAGTCCTTCTGTGCCGCCTCCACTGTCACTGCATGGACTCCATAGCAACCTCCAGCTGGTCTCCTGGACACTTCCTTCCCAGCTCCTGCCCATCATTTAGGGTGTTTTTCATAAAATACCATTGGAGATGTGGAGTTGTTGTGGAGATGGAGTCCAGGCCTGGGGTGTCCTGCCCTCTAGATGATGCTTTTAACTGGCCAGTGCTGCCCCCGCTTGGTGGACTCCTCAGTCCTAACATGAGGCCTCTGTTGGCAGCTGCTGTCCTGGTCTCCCCCTCAGTGCATTCACATCTATCCCTGTGTTGGTTCACTACTGTACTTCTGCAGTCTAGCACGGTGCCAGAAACAGTAGGTCTTTAAGAAATATTTGTTCAATTAAAGATTTTTAGTTATTTTTTAAAAGCTTGGTTATGAGGAAGAATGTTCATGGATGATTATTACAGGAGATATGGCTTCAATTCCCTTAAAGCAGGAGTTGGCAGATTTCCTGTGAGGGGCCAGGCAGTAAATATTTTTTGAGCTTTGAGGGCCAGGTGTTCTGTTGCAACTGCTCATCTGTATTATTATTATTATTATTATTATTTTGTGGTGCTGAGGATTGAACCCAGGGCCTTGGAATGCGGGGCAAGCACTGTAACAACTGAGTTATGTCCCCCGCCCACTCATCTGTATTTTGAACAAAAACAGCCATGAGTGATATGCATGTTGTTATTGTATCTCATAAGTTGCCCTGGAACTTTTGATCCATTTTCTTCAACCTCTTGTGTAGCTGAGATTACAGGGGTACACCCCTGCGCCTGGCTTGTGAACCTTAAAAATATGAGCATTGGGCTAGATTTGGTTGGGGAGAGTTGTGTTTGTTAATTCTTGCCCAGAGTCTTAAATCTTATTAGGTCAGATTTGACACTGGACTTCTGGACAGAATTTGTCTGCTTGTGTTGGCTCTTTGAAAACACCGTGCTTTGGTCTGTTTAGGACTATAGATGACATCCTGCTTCCATCCTGCTCCCATCCTGCTCCTAGACTCCCTGTGAGTAGACTGTGCACAGTCCATTATAATAATTTCAGCAAGAAATCTTAACTTTTCCTTGAGTAAAGTGCTGTCCCAGAATGAATTTTTATATTTTGTTTTTCCTTTTAACATTTTAAAAAATTTTATTTATTTTTATTAACTTTTTTTAGATGGACACAATACATTTTTTTTTATTTGTTTTTATGTGGTGTTGAGGATCGAACCCAGTGCCTTGCACCTGCGAGGCAAATACTCTACCACTGAGCTACAACCTCATTTTTCACTAATGGTTTCATAGAAGTTCTTGGAGTTACAAAAACCTGGTTATACCTAGCGGTGCAACTTCTGTTTTAGCCAAATTACTTAATTTTTTTTCTTTTTAATACCCTTATTTTATTTATTTATTTTTACATAGTGCCAAGGCTTGAACCCAGCGCCTCGCATGTGCTAGGTGAGTGCTCAACCGCTGAGCCACAACCCCAGACCCCTTAATCTTGTTTTTTGAATTATAAATGAGAAGTAGTACTTGTGCCTTTTGGGCATTAGCTGTAGTGTAAGTGAACTGGCTAGTGGTGTGTTAAAAGAAAAATCAAAGTAGAGGAAGACAAAATGAAACAATTAAAAATGGCTGTTAATTTGTATTATTCCCAAGCAGACATCTTTAATATTTCTGGATATGCTCTAAAGGCATGCATAAATTTAATTGGTTTTCTGTCCCACTCTTTGCTTTGTGAAAATAGTGTGAAATCATGTACATTTAGGAAGAGCAGAGTTAGGTCCTGCCTCATTGGAAGAGAGGTGGAAGGGAACCCAGTACAGTCAGCCGGGACGGGTACATCAGCTGGGGGTGCGTGGGTGCCAGCTGCACTTGCTTCTGACATCTTAGCTCTTGTTTTCACTAGGCAGGGCACAGGCTCTGACTCTAGAACTCCCTGTCTTGCAGAGCGCTGGTTGTGTACTCTGTGTGTGTGTGTGTGTGTGTGTGTATGTATTCTCCATCTTCAGTTTTTTTTAATAATTCTCAGAATGAGAATATTGAAAGAAAAGCATAGCAAAATATAGTTTAATTTTTTTTTTAATTGTTGATGGACCTTAATTTATTTATTTTAATGTGGTGCTGAGGATTGAACCCAGTGCCTCAGCTAGGCAAGCCCTCTACCACAGAGCTACAACCCCAGCCGGTAAAATATAGTTTTTAAATTGATGTAATTTATATATGGTAAAATGTAATTCAACGTATTTAAGTCACATTTCCACAGGAAAAAGACATTGATCTGATTCCTTGTTCAGCATATTTGCTTGTGGTATTAATACACTTAATTTTTTTTTTTTTTTTTTTTTTTAAGAATATGATTTACATTACCTTGAAAGTTCTTCCTGCAGGTAGGAGCATGGTCTAGAATCTGAGGGTGTGGCAGAGCAGTTTGCACCTTTATTGTAAGCTTGTTCTCTGTAGGGATTGTGGATAAAATGTCTAATAAGCAGAATTTGTGATAAACAGCAAGTTAATAAAAAAAAGATTTTTTTTTTTTTCAGTCTAAGCTTTAAACTTTGTTTTTACTTCCCTGTCAGAAATCATTCAGTCATTGTGATATATTTATTGGCTTGGGCCTTTTGTAACGTGTTTTTTCTCTTGCTCTTTAAAATTCCCTCTGGCCCGCAGCTGTAGTGTGTTGGCTGTGAATGGCAACATCTTTTTCTTTTATGTATATTGTGTTCCTTGAGAATTAAAACTCATTAAGGCAAAAAGCCCACTGTTTGTCATTTAGTTATTTCTTCATGCTTTGAATGGTTACTTGGGCAGGTATAAGGGATGTCCTTTTTTGAAATACCTTATTTTCTAATAAGACTTTAAATGCTGAACCTTATGTAAGATTCAGTTACTTAACAGATTAAATATACTAATACCTCCTTAGTTCGGTCAGAGCCTATCAGCTGTCACATGGTTCCTTAACATAGTTAGGAATTGAGCATAGCATAATATAATATTAAACTTTAACAGAACTGTTTAATAGTTAATACTTGTCTGACTTTCTGCGTTCAGGACACTTGGGTTGGAAGGAATGAAGGAAAGCAAGTTTAATTCAGTTTGCCTTTTTGGCTTTTTTTTTTTTCCCCCTTTTAAACAATTCTTTTAAAAAATATTTATTTTTTACTTGTAGTTGGACACAATACCTTTATTTTATTTATTTATTTTTATGTGGTGCTGAGGACTGAATCCAGGGCCTCGCCTGTGTTAGGCAGGCGCTCTACTGCTGAGCCACAACCCTAGCCTCCTTTTTAAACAATTCTTATGAGTAACATCTAATAGAAATAGCATTCTTTTTTTCTTTTTCATTTCTCTTTTTGTGGTGCTGGGTTGAACCAGAACAATTGTTTTTGATCTTGTTACCTTCACAGTGTTGAACATATTTTGACAAGGCTTTATATGAGTTTATGCTACATAGGAAGAAGTTACATAGGACTAGAGTACGTAGAACAGTTATCCCAGCGGTAAAAAAGAGAGAGAGATTGAGATGGGATCTTCCTGTGTTGCCTACGTGGGCCCTGAACTCCTGGGCTCCAGTGGTCTTCCTGCCTCTGCTCCAAAGCAGCTGCAACTGCAGGCGCACCTAGCTTTAGAATGTGGTTTTGGTGCTGGAATTGAACACATGGCCTTCTGCATGCCAAGTGCGTGCTCTGTCCCTGGGCCACACCCCTAGCCCTGTCCTAACTTTTTACTAAACAGTTTCTTAGGAATCTGCTCTGCTGGTATGAAATGACAACAGCATGTAAAAAATGTTATTTTCGCAAGCCTTTTTCCCAGTCTAGCTTTTAACTCGGACATCGGTCCCATATGTTTATTTGTGTTCACTGAAAGCCTGTTTTGTACGGTGTGCTGCCATACAGGGAATGCCCTGTTTTCCTCTCCTGGGAAGTTTGTCTCAATTAACGAATGACTGGGTGGCATATGGTTTGCCATCCTCCTGCCTCTGGAGCAGCTGGGATTATAGGCTTCTGCCACCTGGCTTAAATTTACGTTTTTGTTTGTCAGCAGCAGTAGGGGGTACTCGCTCACTTTCAAGCCTGTTTCTCCCTCATAAAATGAAGTACTCTAAGACACAGAGGAGAGAAATTGTGAAAACATTTTGAAAATGTAAATGCTGAGTGAAAACATATGTCTATACAAAATCCTGTGTGTGCGGGTTCACAGCAGCATTATTTTAATAGCCCCAAAGTGGACACAGCCCAGGTGTCCATCAGCTGATGAGTGGATGAGCAAAATTGTAGACTATCCATACAGTGGAATAATTTTCAGCTTATAAAAAGTGTTGAAGCACCGATACCTCCTCCGCTTGGACACCTGGGAAACATGCTGGGTGAAGGAAGCAGACATAAAGGCTAGGTGTTGTGTGGTTTTATTCATGTGAAATGTCCAGAATAAGCAAACCAATAGGGGCAGAAAGTAGATGAGTGGTCATCTGGGCTGGGGCTGAGGAGGGGGTTAGGAATGAGGTGTGACTGCTAGTATGAGTGAGATTTCTTTTTAGGTGCTGAAAATGTCATGGTATCTAGGTTGTGACGATGGCTGCACAGCCCTCTGAGAATGCCAAAGCCACAGTTGTGCAGTTGAAGTGGGTGAAGGTTTTGGTGTGAGATATCTCAGTGCAGCTGTAAAAAGGTGAATGCTGGAGGAGGACTTTCATTCTCACTGAAGTCAGCCAGCTGTCATTGGTATAGTGATGGTGTTAGAGTCATCACGTCAGGGTGTGGGCGTCAGTTTTGTCATTGAAAATATGTTGGTGAAGGTCTCCATCTCTGTGTAAGGCAGTATCAGCAGTGGTCATGTCCAGATGGAGGAGTGTGGGGCCATAGGCCTCATACTTTCCTCCCTTCCCTTCCCTCCTGTCTGTGCAGAGGGAAGGTGCAAAAGAGGCAGGAGAGAGTGAGTCCTCTCCACTGGCTTCACCCTCACAGTGAATCCGAGGTATCTATCCGAGGGTTCTATCCTCAGCACCACATATAAATAAAATAAGGGTATTGTGTCCACTTATAACTTAAAAATAAATATTTAAAAAAAATGGGGGTTGGGGATGTGGCTCATTGGTTGAGTGCTCCTGGGTGTTCAATCCCCAGTACCAAAAATAAAAAATAAAAAGCTTCCTTGGACCAGGGATAGTAGTGGGCATCAGGGACCCGCAGAATAAGAGAGAGGTCCTACACTTGAAGGGATCTTGCTGAGGTATTCTCTGTAGGACATAAGGGTAGATCCCTGTGGGAGGGTTTTTTTTTTTTTTTTTTAGGTATAGATGGACACAACACAATGCCTTTATTTTTATGTGGTGCTGAGGATTGAACCCGGGTCCCACCCGTGCTAGGAGAGCGCCCTACCTCTGAGCCACAATCCCAGCCCTCCTATGGGAGTTTTGAGGTCACTGAGATGTTTCCTATCACAGCAATTTTTATCATTTATGGTTTTATAAAAAAACAGGGTAGTAATTCTTCTTTAAGAAAATGGTAAACAGTAAATAGAAAACATTCTAGATTTTCTTTTTAATTTTTTTAGTTGTCGATGGACCTTTATTTATTTATTTATTTTTATTAATATGTGGTGCTGAGAATTGAACCCAGTGCCTCACACATGCTAGGCAAGTGCTCTACCACTGAGCCACAGCCCCAGCCCCATTTTAGTTTTTCTTGGTAGGTAATTTCTGTTTTTATCCCTTGGTGTGCCAGTTTGAGGGTGAAGTAGAACCCTCATGAAAGCTGTACGTCATAGATTTATATGCCCTATTCACACAATCTAGTATTTGTTTTCATGGAAAATCTTACTTGAGTAGTAGTGCCTTACTTAGGATAATTCTAAATGTTATTAGTAGTGAAAATGGTGGTTGTGTGTGTGTGAAACTGTATGAAGAGCGTGTTCAGTTGTGAGGCTGATCCTGAAGTGTAGCCTGGGGTCTATGGAGTGGGTGAGTGTCGTGTCAGTGGTCTCTTGGTATTCAGGTTGGCCCATACATGAAACTTTGGTGAAGTTATTACGTTCTGAAACTCAATTTTGTTATCTGTGAAGTGATATGGTGACATCTAAACTTCCTTCTGGAACTAAAAGTGTATGCCTCTAAGGCTGTGTTCACTGCTCTATTGTTCTATTACAAATGTTTATATGTACATAATTATTTTATAGATATATAATATATAATTTTTTGAGTACTGGGAATTTAACCCAGGTGTCCCCCTCTTTCTTTCTTTTTTAATTTTTGTAATAAGATCATTGTATTTTAATTATTGAACCTGAAAAACCTATCCTCAGAGCAGATGTTGAACCCAGGTCATTTAGGAGAACACCAGGCATGCTCACCAATATAGGGTGACTACCAACAGCCTGTAAGAAGATATCCTTTCACAGGATTTTAAGCAAAAATCTTGTAGGTAACTATGCTGTTATTTATATATTATTCATTAGTATTTAGGGGAGATTAATAATTTTTAGGCCATAAAATGAATAAGAACTAACTAAACATTTTCTGATATAAGTTCTATCTTTTATGCCTTTCTTTTTTTTTTAACCTTTATTTCATTTATTTATTTTTATGTGGTGCTGAGGCTCAAACCCAGTGCCTCAAACATGCTAGGTGAGCATTCTACCACTGAGCCACAACCCCAGCCCCTTTTATGCCTTTCTTTTTAAAATTTTTAATTTGTTTTACACATGACAGCAGAATGCGCTTTCATACATCATACATAATGGAGTATAATTTCTCATTCTTCTGGTCATGCCCGATGTAGAATCCCACCGGTCATAGGGTAATAATGTCTACTATCCTTCCTACCTCTCTACCTGCTCCCCTCCCTTCACTTTGCTCTACCTAATCTAAAGTCAATCTGTTCTTCCCTTTTTCTTTTTAATTTTGAGACGGTCTCACAAAATTGCCTCAGTGATTCCCAAGTCACTAGGATTACAGGCATGCACCCAGCTGACTTTATTATATAGTACCATTTCATTGTTACATTAATAAGCATTTATTTAATGTTTACTGTGTTCAGAGCATTATGTTGAGAATATCAGAGGTAAAGCACTGAATGGCTTTGGGTAAGCTGCAGTCTAGTGGTTGGATTAAGACTTCACTGCAGAGCAGGGAGATGGTTGGTAAGAGGGAACTATTAAGTGGTGGTCATAAGTGTCCTGTGCTCCTACCAACAAGGGTTACTCTTGTCCATTATAGTCCATACAGATGCTGCTGGTGCTGCTAACAACATTGATTGCTACATTTATTTGAAATTTACTGTGTGCATTATACTAAACCTTTGATGTAAATTAACTAATTTAATCTTCAACAAAATAAATAGATAATGATTTTCTGATTTTATAGATGAAAAAACTGAGGCATGGGCTGGGGATGTGGCTCAAGCGGTAGCGCGCTCGTCTGGCATGCGTGCGGCCCGGGTTTGATCCTCAGCACCACATACAAACAAAGATGTTGTGTCCGCCAAATACTAAAAAATAAATATTAAAATAAAAAAAATAAAAAAAGAAACTGAGGCATATAGAGAATAAGAGTGTGCCTAAGGGCTGGGGATGTGGCTCAAGCGGTTGCGTGCTCGCCTGGCATGCGTGCGGCCCGGGTTTGATCCTCAGCACCACATACAAACAAAGATGTTGTGTCCGCCGATAAGTAAAAAATAAATATTAAAATTCTCTCTCTCTCTCTCCCTCCCCCCCCTTTTCTCTCTCTCTTTCTTAAAAAAAAAAAAAAGAAAGAAATCACACATTGAGAGTAAGAGGTCTTCCATCAGTGAAAAACCAGACTGATTGTTTTAAAAAAAAATTCTGTTTAAAAAAAGAAAGAAAAAAGAGTGTGCCTAAGCTAGCACAGCCAGGCTGTGAACTGGGATCAGCACTTAGGGTCTGGTCCAGAATCTGGACTCCAGATATGACTCAGACACCTTTACTGGTCAGTCAGCACTGGGAGGAGAATGGAGTGTTTATGAAGACCCGAGCCAGATTATTTTCTGTGCTAGTGATATCAGACAGATTTTAGAAATATAAACAGGCTATGGTGCATTAACGTTTACTTCAGTTTGTTCAGTGAAACAGATGGTTGGCTTATCTCTAACTGCCTCACCCAGGGTTGTTTTAGAAACCACGCCCAAGAGTGTTGGTTAAGGGGCTGAGTTAAAGTGAGGAATCTCACCAGAGATGTCAGGTCACGTGGAACGGGGAGCTGTACTTCAGGTACTGAAAGGTAAAATAAGTTTTTCATCGAATGTTATTTTTAATTAAAATGCATTTTAACTTTAGTTGGTTACACTTAATGTTCTTGAAATTTTGAAGTGAAGTTTTTGGTATGTTACTTTTGCTTTCTCATCAGGTACTGGAACGATTAACATGCTCATTGTTTGTAGGGTACTGCTGTGTGCCATCATTCTGCTGCCCATCTCACACTTGTCCCTCCTTGCGGCCTCTACAATCTTGGAACATATGACTAAGTGCATTTTGTTATAAATGAGGAAACTGAGACACAGAAGATGATGAACTTACCCAAAGTCTAAGTCGAAGGTTATGAAGCAGTAGTGGGGCACTGCTGCTGCTAGGTTGAAGTGTGTGTCCAAAGCCCTGGAGGGGAGCAGAAAGACACTTTACCTTGTGGGGAGGAGGGATTCATGGCATTGAGATAACTGGAGAACATACCATTTATCAAAATGAATCTCAGATGGGTTAGAGAGAAATGTATAAAATTATATAGATGCTGTGGAGAGAAAGCAAATAAAATGTTCATCAGAGATATGCTTTAAAACTTTCTTGGGATGGGTGTGGTGGTGCACGCCTGTAATCCCAGAAGCTCAGGAGGCTGAGGATAGGAAGTTCAAAGCCAGCCTCAGCAACTTAGTGAGGCCCTAAGCAACTTAGCGAGACCCTGTCTCTAAATAAATATAAAAAATGGTCTGGGGATATGGCTCAGTGGTTAAGCTCCCTTGAGTTCAATCCCTGGTACCAAAAACAAACAAACAAAAAAACCAAAAAAATCCAAATAACTTTCTTGGAACATTTTGTTAGGTGTATGCCTGTGAAGGAATAATGACGTGTAGTTGTCAGTATGCAAATGCTCAAGTATTTACTCATTGAAAAATAAAATTATGATGATGATCTGGGGATAAAAGGACAATAGCTACATCACTTTTTCAAATTTACAGAATAAATACATCCAGATCTCAACATGTAGTTAAAGGAAGGAAATGAATAGTTCATAAGGGCAATTTCAGATATAAATTAAAAAAAATCATCCTCTCCTACTACCCAGAGGAATGCCAAAGAAAGCAGAGACTTTGGCTCCATTGGAGGGAAGCGTTGGCCATGCACTACAGGCTATCCTGTGGGAGACTGATCTCAGTGAAGAAAGGGCTGTTGGGACCCAGCCATAGCCTAGCAGGCAGCGTGTTCTTATTTCAGCCAACAGGTAGTAGGGCTGCAAGAGGAGAGGTTGATAGACACGTTGTTTAGCAGATGTTGGCTTCTGCCACTTTTATATATATTTGCCTGTTCCATGGCTGCAGTACAGTTTTTTTAAAAAATATTTTTTAGTTGTTGATGGACCTTTATTTTATTTATTTTTATGTGGTGCTGAGGAACGAACCCAGGGCCTTGCATGTGCTAGGTGAGTGCTCTACCACTGAGCCACAACCCCAGCCCCTGCAGTACAATTTTGTACATGCTATTTTAAAATTTTTTTGTTATCAGGGATTGAATCCAGGGGCATTTAACCACTGAGCCACATTCCCTGCCCCTCCTCCCCTTTTTATAAAGAGAGAGAATTTTTTAATATTTTTTTTTAGTTTTTGACGGACACAACATCTTTATTTTATTTTTATGTGGTGCTGAGTATCGAACCCAGCGCCGCATGCATGCCAGGCGAGCGCACTACCGCTTGAGCCACATCCCTAGCCCCCCCCCCTGCTTTTTTTTATTTAGAGAAGATCTCACTGAGTTGCTTAGAACTTGCTAAGTTGCTGAGGCTTGTATATGCTTTTTTAAAAACTTATAGCTTGGGACTGGGGGTGGTAGAGTGCCCGCCTCACATGTGGAAGGCACCGGGTTTGATCTTCAGCACCACATAAAAATAAAATAAAGGTATTGTGTCCATTTACAACTAAAAAAATATTAAAAACTTATAGCTTAAATGATTGGCCACATCTTAGCTATTATTTATAAGATCATCTTTATGACAAAATAAATTTCCATACAATTTTATAATTATTAAACTATATCCCCTGTACATGTCCATTTTTTTTTTTTTTTTTTTTTTGAGGGAGATAGTCTCAGGCTAGTGCCATTATTCCCTCCTGATGTATTTGATTGGAATTAGATTGTAGAGTGTTCCCGCCCCTATCAGATCTGCAGAGGGTCTTGTCATACTGAGTGTCTAATCAGTCTGTGCTTCCTGACTTGGCTGGTTTTCCTGTAGTCTTGGTGGGTCACTGGAGTGCCCACACACTGAGTTATAATGTCTCTGAGGTCTGGAGTTCCCTTTTCTATTTCCCTACCTCTGAGGGCCATACATGCTGGTGTCTCTAAATTTAGTCAGCTGGAGGCAGATGCAGCTGTGATCCTTCTGCATCTCAGCTTTGGGAATTGACATCATTCTTAGACACATAAACCCATTTAACTCAGACGCAAAACTCAGGCCTGAAGGTGGAGCTGTGTGTCCAGTGGTACTGTGCTGACACAGCCTATCTGAGTCACCTGGAGCTTTGCGTGGGTGGATGTCCAGGTCCCACTGCCAGAGATTGGGGTTTGCTGGGTGCCACAGTGTTTTTTTTTTTTAATTTTTTTTAGAGAGATAATTTTTTAATATTTATTTTTTAGTTTTTGGTGTACACAACATCTTTATTTTATTTTTACATGGTGCTGAGGATCGAACCCAGCGCCCCGCGCATGCCAGGCGAGTGCGCTACTGCTTGAGTTACATCCCCAGCCCTGCCACAGTGTTTTTGAAGCTCTCCAGGCTGTGCCTACAGAGCCAGGCTGGAGAGCCACATGTCAAGGTGCTGTTTGAGGCACAGGAGGGCCCGCATGCTGCTGTTAGCACAGCAAGCAGTATTGTCAGGTAGAAGCAGCAGCTCAGGATACTGGAGCACCCCCTCAACAAAGAGTGGTTGGAACGAAGATGGGGGACAGCAAGGGAGGCTCACAGGAGTGCTTAGAGATGTACGCTTCCCCAGGAGGCAGGGCAGTGCCAGGTGCTGCTGGGAGCCTAAGGAGCTGCTAGTAGCTGGATGGAGACAGTGGGTCTTAGAGGCTCCCACTAGGTAGGGTTTTAGGAGCTGCAAATAATTACTCTGTATTTTCTGGTGGTGCTGGGATTCTGGTCCCACCTTTGGGGCTGGTTTTGAGTGTGGAGTGAACCAGGTGCTCAGCCCTTTGCTTCACCGCTTTGCCTCTTGGCTTTTGCTTCCTTTTTTTTTTTTTTTTTTTGTGGGTACTAAAGATTGGACCCAGAGGTGCTTAACCACTGAGCCACACCCCAGCCTTTCTTAATGTTTTTATTTAGAGATAGGGTCTGCTGAGTGCTAAGTTGCTGAGGCTGGTTTTAAACTCGTGATCCTCCTGCCTCAGCCTCCCAAGCCACCGGGATTCCAGGCGTGTGCCACTGCGCCTAGCTGGCTTTTGCTTCTTTCAGATGGCCGTTTGCCAGGCCATTTGCAGCAGTGTTCAGAGATCTTTGAGAAGCAATTGGCTCAAGAGGCCATTAACCTCATCAGTTGATGAACCATAGATGGATTCAAAGCTGAATGGAATATTGGGAGTTGGCAAAAACTGTAGGAGGTGGAGCCTCATTGGAGGACGATCACGGGTGCTTCCTGGAAGGTAAATCTCCTTCCCCTTCCTGGATCTCCCTCTCTCCCCATTCCTCATGCCATGAGCTGAGCAGCTTTTCGCCACCAAGCCTCTGCCGTGAAGTTCTACCTCACCTCAGGCCCAGAGAGGTGGAGCTGCGCTCTGCATTGTTTTTCTCAAGTATTAGTGACAAAAGCCCACTAATGGACTCTCTCCCCTCCACAGTTCTTACCTTTGGCTTTGGCTCTGGCTGTCCCCTGCCTGGAATGCTTTTCTGGGTGCATGGCCATCACCACCTGAGTCTCTTTGCTTGGCTGTCCCTTCTTGGGCTTCCTCTGCTCTTCCTGCCTAACATGTGACTTCCTCCCCACCTCCTGGGCTCCAGTCTCCACCCATGGGCCTTCCCTTCTGAGGGACTGCTGTGTGGTTTGCTTGTGGCCCCTGTCCTCTTGGCTCCTCTGGGAAGGTGTGCACCCTGAAGGCAGAAACCTGCATTTGTTTGGTGACTTCCTCGGGTGTTTGGTGGTTGGACAGTGCCTGGGGCAGGCTTCAGGTAGCCTCTCAGTAGAGCTCAGCGAAGGCTTGACCACTGAGTGCGTGTCAACTCTCTGGGAAGTGTGGCGGCAGTGCTGTGTCTCTTCTCGCTGCATTTGAAGCCGTACAGGATCTGCAAGTTCCAAGGCCTGTCAGTGGAACCTTTTTGAGTTTGGATTCTCCCCTCTACCTGCCTCCTACTGTCATGTCTGTTGTTGTGGCACTGTTTTGGTTAAGTAAAAACTAATAATAAAAATATATGCCATTTCCCTTTGTCTGAATTCGCTTTTGGTAACTTTATTTTCCTTTTGTGACTAAATTTTACCCTTTAAAATATCACTTGGATTTTTTGGGGGTGGGGTGGGGGGGATTGAACTCAGGGGCACTCAACCTCTGAGCCACATCCCCAGCCCTTTTTTGTATTTTATTTAGAGATAGGGTCTCGCTGAGTTGCTTAGGACCTTGCTAAGTTGCTGAGCCTGGCTTGCTGAGCCTGGCTTTGAACTCGAGATTCTCCTGCCTCAACCTCCAAGCCACTGGGATTAGGCATGTGCTGCTGTGCCTGGCATAAATATATTAAGGTGGAATGGTGTCAAAGTATTCAAAGCTAGATGAAATAAAAACAAAAAAAAAAAAAAGAAAAGTGGGTCAGGGGCGTGCTTAGGACTTCACTAAGTTGCTGCGCCTAGCTGGCTTTTGCTTCCTTTGTAGCTTAAGAAGGAAACCTGGCACTGTCCTCAGAAGTCCCAGAGATTGCTGAGCAGCTGTGCTCCAGCCTTTGTGTATACATAATATGGATACATTCCTTAGTGCTCAGCGGTTGTGTAGTTCTCATCCCCTAGCCACTCTTGGTTCAAAGCTTCCTTTTATCATTTGTATTCTCAGTGAACCAATCACTTGACAATATTCAGTTGCTGACCATTAGATTCTGAAAGAACCTGCCTGTCTGTTTTTTGTGGTCAGTATTTTAATCTTCCTTTTACCTACAGCCCTGTCAAAGTTACCCTCCCTACCCCCCACCCCAATAAAAATTCAAACCAAACCATCACTTAGTCTTAGCATACTGCCCTCATGGAATGAAATTCAGGATAAATTTTCGGGCTGGGTGTGGCTCAGTGGTGGAGGGCTGGCTTAGCATGTGCAAGGCCCTTGGTTGATTCCTAGTGCTGCAAGGGGAAATAAACCAGGAAAAGTTTTCTTTGAGTAAACAGTAAACTTTGAGAACTTGAGTAAAAATAAGAAATACTGTAGTGACAGAAGGACAGTCACAGTACCATAAAGTAGCGCAAATAGGGAGAGCACCTGACGTTGCAGCAGGATGAAGCTGTGTGCTGTTTTCTTTGCCATGAGGACGGGTCCAGGGCCGCATCTCAGAACAAGTGACTCATCCAGTAATTCCAGTGCAGGCCTCTTGTGTGGTGTCAGTCATTGTCAAGTATATACCATTACGTCTCCCAGATTCCTCTCCTGAAATCTCGATTGTTTGCTTTGTGGAATTTCTTCTTGAAAGCACTTAAGAAAATGTGGATGGGCTGGGGATGTAGCTTGGGGTAGAGTGCTTGCCTAGCATGTGTGAGGCCCCAAGTTCAATCCTCAACCCCGTTAAAAAGAAAAAAAAAAAAAAAGGGCTGGGGTTGTGGCTCAGTGGTAGAGCACTCGCATGCGCGGGACCCTGGGTTCGATCCTTAGCACCACGTACAAAATAAATGAGTGACATAAAGGTATTGTGTACAACTATAAAATGAATATTAAATTTTTTTTTTAAAAAGTGTATAGATTATATTGCTCATGGGCCATGTGAAAGTAATGGATGTCACTTTAAATAGAATGATTTGGAATGAAAGTAAATTTTGTTAGTAACACAGAATGATTTCTGTATTTCTTTAGCATTGGTTCGTTTGGCAGGTATTTTCTGAGCCCTTTTGTATGCTAAATGAGGGGAAACAGTGCTGAACTGGGAGGAAGAGAGAGGCCTTCTTGTTCTTTCTGCACCAACCCCTTTGACTCCTGTGCGGCAGTTCGTGGCATTTGGAGTGAGTGGTTTTTTGGGTTGGGTTCAGAGTTGGCCATTTCTTTACTGAGGCCTGTGGCACGCAAACTGAGTCAGTTCTTTCATCAGCAGATGAGATTCCTCACAGGGTCGTTGAATCGAGTAGCTTGTGTGTGGATGTGCCTGCGGTGTGTGAAATGGCTGCAGTGGGCTTTGGCAGTTGTCCCTATGAAATACACATGCTAGCTGTGCTTCTGGGTCCCCTGCATTTCTTTCCTCCTTCCTTTGTATTGTGGGTTGAACCCAGGAGCTCCTACCACTGAGGTGCATCCCAGCCCTTTGTTATTTTGAGACAGGGCCTTGAATTGTTAATACTCCTGTCTCAGCCTCCCAAATTACTGGAGTTACAGATGCACACCACTGTGTCTGGCCCAGCCTTGCTTTTGTGACTTGCATTCTTTGTAGCTGGGTTTGGGAAACATTAAGTCTGGAGGTTGGGGATCATAAGGATGAAGATTTCAGCTCTATCCTGTTCTACCATTTCTTCAGCGTGTACTCAGCTGCGTCAGTCATCTCATTTGTTCACTAGGTGGAGGTGAGGATGCTTCATGCATGTTGAAGCTTCACAGTACTGTGAGTGGACTGCCACCTGACTCCTGGCCTGGTCCTGACCTGTGTGTGGGCTTGAGGTCCCACTGTCAGCCGTAAGAAGGTAGAGGGCCAGCTCTACACCATTCTTAAATCACTGCTTCTCTGATTATTGCCTATTCGACCTGAAGCAAGTAACTGGAATTCTCCTCTAGTTATCCATCGTAGGATTGATAGAAGCTCTAGTTAAAAGCAGTGACATCTGTATTCAACAAAAAAAGGTGGAAGGTTTAGGCTGGGATGCTGTTAGCTAATGATTCCATTGCAGCCAGAGCAGCAAGAGGACTCACCTAGGTAGTTGGTTCCTGATTAACTGGAGATATGTGTGGGACATAGCAGAGACACGGTGCTTTGACTAATTTTTACGTCTTTATTTTTGGGTTTGTTTCTCATTTGAACTGTGCTGAGACATGAAGCCTGCAATGGCAGAGTACAGTTTCGTGAGGAGGGACCTCTGCAGCCTGGCTGCCCATTCCTGCCTGCTTTACCTTCATTGGGCCTCAGTGTCCTTATATGCAGGAAAAATGAATTGACATATATAAAAATGAGTTTATTCAAATCAGTACTTGGCACATGGTAAGCAGTGATCATTTTAAGCTGTGATTATTGTTAAAGAATCTTCTGAGTTTTCATCTGAGGAGAACATCCAGAGACACAGGAATAGAAATGATCCGCTCAGAGTAATTAAAGGCTTTTCCTAAGCCCTGAGGTCTGGATCAGGACACTTTCAGTTCGCTTGAGTGGAGAAGAAGCAGCTTCAGCCAGCGTGAGGTCATGAGGTCGTGTCTGTCTTTTCAGGGAAGTGGAAGTGCATTCCTAGCAGGCCATGTAAGCAGGGAGGGTTCTGCCCTGCAGTTGGCTGTTCCATTGGGGAGAGTTCAGGTGGGTTCCCTCTTGCCAGTGGATGTTAGGGTCCCCTTTTTAGTGCTGTGGTCTTTCTAGGTTTGCAGGTTTCTGAGTTGTCATGAATTTGGGGGCTCCTGTGCCTCTTCTGCTGTCTCAGGGTGCTTCCTGGGTATGCAGACTTTGCTGCCCTGGGCCTGGGTGTGACCTCACTGTTGGCTCCCCTGAATCTTTCAGTCTGGTCACTCTTCCCAGCAGAGACTCTGTCTTTGACTTTGAGAGTGTCCCAAAGATGCAGTTTCATCCTGGATGCCAGCCTTCACAGAGCCCTTCCTCTCAGAGAAGTGAGTTGTCCCCTGTAGCAGATGACTTACTTGAAGCACAGTCTCAGTTGAGCCCCTGCTAGTGTGAGATGCTGGTGGTGATGGGGGCTCATTTACAAAACAAGGTAGAAGTGGATTGTCTCTGCTCTGATGGCCCATGGACTGGTAGTGGAACGAGCATTCACCCAAAGAGTTTGGTCCTGTTTAGAAATGGCCGTAAAGGAGGTAGGAACGAGGTGTCCTGGCATGTGGGAGGCCAGGAGTCAGGATTGGGGCAGGCTGCACAGAGCAGGAAATATTTGAGTTGGCCTTTGAGTATGATTGGGGTCTGACAGGTTTTGAAGGGAGAGAATACTTAATTACTTCATTTAAAATTTACTCAAGAGAAGAGTGCGATGGCGCATGCTTGTAATCCCAGTGCTTCTGGAGGCTAAGACAGGAAGATCGAAAGTTTGAGGCCAGCCTCAGCCATTTAGCAAGGCCCAAAGTGATTTAGTGAGACCCTGTTTCAAAATTAAAAATAAAGAGGGCTGTGGATTGTAGCTCAATGGTAAAACATCCCTGGGTTTAATCCCTGGTACCAAAAAAAAAGCAAACTAGTTTATTGGGCACCTGTTGGGAACCAGGCAGTATAAAATGTGAGGGAAGTTGGCGATCAGCCTCCTCACTGTTGGGCCTCTTCAGGGCTCAGGAGGTGTCCTTCACTAGGTGGTGCTCCCTCCCCAGGACGCCTGGGAAGCATCTCTTCTGTGAAGGTTTCCCAGGTATGTAATACAAACCTGGGCCTTAAAAGATGGCGCCTCCCTGTCCTGGCGGCTGCAACTCCCCATCAATCTGTCCAGGGCTGGCTCCTCTGAAGGCTGCAAGGGACTTCTGTCCCGGGCTCTGCAGCTCCTGTTGTCCTGGAATCCCTGGGGCTCCTTGGCTTGTAGAACCACCACAGACCTCTGCCTTCATCTTCACAGGGCCTTCTCTCTGCCTGTGAGTCTGGGCAAGCTCCCCTTCTACGAGGACACCAGTCGTGGGGGACCAGGTCCCACCCTGCTTGAATATGACATCATCTGAACTGATTACACCTGAAAGGACCCTCTTTCCCTATAAGGTCACATGCTGGAGTACTGTGATTGAGGATTTTTTTTTTAATTTTTTTTTTTAATATTTACTTTTTAGTTTTCAACGGACACAACATCTTTGTTTGTATGTGGTGCTGAGGATCGAACCTGGGC